GGGTTCATTTAAAACGATGTTAACAACAGCCCGAATGTCGTGGTTTCTGCGGAAAGCCTGAAGGCCAACACCTCCCGTCACACCAGCCACTCTGGGCTTCCCGCGTTCACGACGGATGGCAGCATCCCAGCGACAGCCACGCTCTGGCAGTCTGTCAGTCTACTGCAATTTTTTTTTCCCCCAGAAAAGCCTGAAGAAACTGGCAGCTTTAAATGGAACACGTAAACCACATCAACAACTCACCTTTCAGATTACTCTGTTTACACGTCAAAACAGGACTTTTGTGCTAACAGGTTCCACCAAGTACGAGAAATGCAATCCAACTGCCTTCTTCTCTTGCTTAATACTCTACCACCCACAAGACTTCTAGATTCTAAGATTAAAACTTCAAACTGCAGTAAGCAAAATTCTGATGACCTAAGAGGGGTAACGGGGCTCCTTGTTACAGGTAAGGCCTGCCGCACTGAAACCAACAACATCTGTTGACCCAAACCCAAGAAGATAATTCACGAAATGTTTTCCACAGGCCCCATTCTCCGGTCAGGGTGCCGGCTGAAGAAAGATAATTAATGTTGACCTCCACTTCCCTACTGTGGGGTGAACAATTAACTTCTCAGCTCCATTTAGAAATAACAAGTTCTGTCCTCCCCTCAGATAACTGGTGAGTAATCTTTCTAACTTTCCCGTTGGTTTGGTAATTCACTCGGAGCTCCAGGTTTCCGCACAAAGACACCTGCACTAGTCTACAGGCTGGTCTACACGCCCAAGAGCGGCACCTGCGCACAAGTCTAGATTTCGGTTCTGGATAACTAAAATATATACGAGTTAGTGAAATGGTCAGTAGCGCTGGCCCATTAAGGAAAGTAATTCTTCAGATGCTGAAATGTTTGAGAAAATCAAAAATCAAAACTTATGAATGCAGCAAGGAAATGGAGGTGGTTATATAGTTCTGCATAAAGCAACTTAAAGTAATTGAGAATTTGTTGGTGAAATAGAACATTAATAAGGCCAAAAGTTTGTAAGCAGACTAATAAAACAAAAGTCCTACCTAATCAGGAGAGAAAAGAAACAGGCTGTCAAAAATACTATGCATGAAGCTTGGTAATGGCTTATGCAGGAAAAAAGAATTAATGTAAGATTTCAGGAAGCTGAAGACAAATTGAAGATTTCCTGAAGATTTCCAAATTGAACTTCTAGAGATTTGACATGAAAATCAAATCAAACATGTGAAGGACTTCTCTGTGTATCACACAACAAAAGCATCCACCTTTTGTTTTCAAGATCAGACTGTAAATGATACCCCGAGGCAGTGGTCTGTAAGGTGGGGACTGCGAGCTGCCAGAAGGCGCACAAGACGATCTCCTGGGGGCAAGAAGAAAGTACTAGAGCTTCCAGTCAAGATTTCCTTTTTATACCATCCTTAATTCTGACTTTTGTGTATGTCTTACGATGTACATGTGACTTTCACACAGTAGTTTACAACTTAATTTATACACACAGGATTTTGCAATAGGAAACGTGTTCAAAAACTTTTACTGAGCAAGGTGTGTGTTCGGAAAGGCAGGAGACTGCTTTTCTGAAATGCCAGGGGGTGCTTCCAGGTGCTTACCTTCCTGAAAAACCTACACAACTGCCTTTAGAACTTCGTAATCCTAACAAATATTCTGAGATCGGGATGAAACAAGGTTACCAGGCCAGACCTCACCCAACGGGGCGGGCCTGCAGTCAGAGGACCAAGAGCCTGCGTGCCGGCCGCAGCATCGCCAGCCTCTGGCTTCCGTTCCCCTCCAAGCCCAAGTGACACACAGTATGGGAAAAACTAGAAATTGGGCCAGGTGAAGAGATTCAACAGACCTGGCCTTTTTGGATCTCTAAAACTGTATGTACATTGTCAAGGAGTTCTTCCAGTTAAAAAAAAATCCAGTACCCTTTCACCGTATTTACCCATGTGTGTGTAGATACGGGCTCATGGGCTTACTTTCCCCAACAACATCTGAAGAAGAAATTTATACTCATAATTTAATCATCAAAATGTGGAAAAATTAAACCTATATTTTAATTCTAAGACCCTTATGTTGACTTTTTGAGAATTCTGGATTATTCCCATGTATTTATTTTTAAAAATCAATGGAAGTTTTCACCTTTGTTAGAACACATAAAATATGCCATGAGGAATATTACATCACAAAAGCACTGATAAGCCATTAAAAAAAAAAAAGATTACTGAAGTTAGACATATGATTTTAATTTTGTATTTTAAAAAATCAACATATGAATAAGAAAAAAAAAAAGATTTTAGAATTTATGTGAAAATCCACCCTGGGATGGAATAAATGAGGCAGCCACCGGCTGCGTGTGCGGCTCTGTGTTCATCCCTTCTCAACACTAAGGCAGTGGCTTAAAATCAGCCAAAGGGGGAGTCATTTACATCATGGAAATCAGCAAATGCTACAATTTATGGACTTTTTTCTTTCCCTTCAGAGAGCCTGGTTGTTAAACATTTCCCAGCCTACAAATGAGTAGATATGGGCCAGAGTAGATGAAAAGCTCAGATGATCCCAGATGTCTCAGAAACTCATTCGATCTGCTCCTTTACCTTAACTTGGGCTACTTTTGGGATACAGCCACAGACACCAAACAGAAGGCTGCCCAGTGAATATTGATCTTAAGTAGTAGGTCACCTTTTGATGCTAAGAACGACCCTGGATATTAAAAAAAAAAACATGAAGCTGAGACTTTTCCAGGAAGGAGGTAGTTTACAAACAGAACGGTCTGCCTCATACGCTTGAGCTCAAGTTGTAAACTTTCGTTTAGAAAAGGAAACACACACACACACACAAACACCCCACACTTTCCACATCAGTTGATCTCAAACAGAAAGCAGATCATCCGTCTCCTGAGGCCCACGCCTCTTGGAGGCTTCCAGAGTAGGTTTACAGACAGCGGACTCACTAAAACTGGTTCCCAGGAAGGTGCTGTGACTGAGTTTTAATGGTGCCCTTGGTTCCCAGGCACCCCTGTGCTGAGACAGTTAATCTTCAAAGATATTGTCTACGAAAACAACCAATGGCTTTTCTCCTTTACTTCAAAAAGATAAAATACTTTTGTGCTTTCAAAATTGAAAATATCAAGTTAAATCAAGCCATCAATACTTACACTTAAAGTACAAAATAGTCATTAGCCTAATAAAACTATTCCAAAGTGCTGCTGAGAGGTCTGCTTTCAAACAAGCGTGCAAAGTAAGTGACTCGGTGTGGGAGACAAGTCCCACCGTCTGCTCCCCAGAGCTCTGGAACCCCGCAAGAACAGATGGCAGCTGGCGACCACACGTGAACCACTAACGGGTCTCTGATGCTACAAACAGAAAGACAGCTCCCTGAATACGTCCCTCCACTACCACTAACCTAGCTCGGCTGTCTAACACTACAGCGTCTCTACATGGTACAGAAACGTATTTAAAGTGAGTATTATACATTGGGAAGATGCTGGTTTGTCTCAGCGTCATTCTGAGCTCTCCAATCCTTACTCCCTCTTTCCACTTAGTTTATGGGACTCAATGAACTGTTTCTAGAGTTAAAAGATGAGGTTAATGGGCAGTGTTGTGGTGGTAGCCGGGGCATATAATCTAATCCTAGACTCTATTTTTTTAATTATTTTTTTTTGAAGATTTTATTTATTTATTTGTCAGAGAGAGAGAGAGAGAGAGGGAGAGCACACAAGCGGGGGGGCAGCAGGCAGAGGGAGCAGCAGACACCCCGCTGTGAGCAGGGAGCCCGATGCGGGACTCGATCCCAGGACTCCGGGATCATGACCTGAGCAGAAGGCGGTAGCTTAACCAACTGAGCCACCCGGGCACCCCTAATCCTAGACTTCAAAAGCCACGGTTTTCACCGATTCCGCTGCGATGTTGGTATCGATTCAGTCTGGAGGCTCCAGAGCATCGTCCGCATCTGCACTGATCACCGTGTGGTGAAGGTTTCTCAATGTGGTAACAGAGAGAGGAAGGCCTCCGCCTCTCCCTACTGACGTGAACGATGCAATCCCTGCGTATGAGCATTTCCAAACCAATTCTGCTGCTCTCTCACTAAAAAACACTTTGCCAGAGAAATAAGCACACCTTCACCTCACCGCAGACTCGGAGGCTTCACCTTGCTTTGCGTCTTCCTCATCACATCTTTAAAACCAGCACAGCCCCTAACAACCTGAAGTTTAAAAGAAGGTAAATGTGGCAGTCGAAAATAGGGTAAGACGAACAGAAAAGAGAAAGTCTCTTTTAACCGGGACAGCCCCGCATGCTGTTTCAAGTCATCCAGCTGAACGTTTTACTCAGAGATGCCTCCGGATTTCAAAACCCGGTTTCCTCCTAAAAGCCATCACTTAACCAGGCTGTGGACCACGGGGGTGTAATCATCCCACCCGGAGAGCCGACGGCACTTCCACGCTAGAGGCGGGCCCCCTGCTCTCACCGGTTGTTGCAAACACCATCTTAAACCCCAGGTTTAAAGCACCTTCCTATGTCGCAACAGACTAGGCTCCGCGCTCTGTTCACAGGTTGAGACAAGATCACACATGCAGCTGAGAAACCCACCGCGATACAAGAGGTCTTTCCTGCGGATTGCTTACATACGTTACTCTTCAAGCCAGACAGAATCTCTCCCATAGCACTGCTCCGATTTTAGTGTGTGTGGACAGGCGTGACTGCTTTTCCTTCACTGCTTGTGCACAGCTCACTTTTTGTTTTTCCACAGAACACACTTAGTCCTGAAGATACGGCCAACTGCAGTTAACATTTCTCCAAATAATACACGCAAAGCATAACTCTTTTCCTGGCCAAAGGGTCCCAATAAGGCAGAAGGAGTAACTTTGTTCTTAACTGCTCTTGCGAACCATAGCTAGCTGCTAAACCCCACCAAAAATTTAACACAAAGCTCAAAATATTAGAAAGAAAGGAAGGAAGGAAGGAAGGAGTGAAGGAAGGAAGAGGGAGGTGGAGCTTGGACTCCAATTAAGGCATTTTTATATACAGTCCAACTTGAGTCATATTCAAAGGGAATCTTAAAAAGGCATTTCAATGGGGAATGGCAAAAATCACAATAGTCTATTATTAGCATTGTAGAACTATTAACCGCTCACTTCAAAGGTAATCATGTTGACTGTCTCTCTGTTTCTTTATTCCTCGGTTCTCTCATTCCACAAGTGCATAGGTTATGTTTTCTGTAAATCTGGGGAAAATGGGCCGGGGGTGGGTGGTCCATCCAGGCCAGACACAGTGAACGGTCCATGGCTGTTCAGCACAGAAGGAAACTGGGAAAGAAAGTAAAACACATTATCATCCTATTACTCAACCCCAAACTTCACTTTCTGTCCCTGCCAGAGTCCCTGAGGCAGAATGTGAAAGCCGCCTGCAGTGGCTCACGGGACAAAGGAAGTAACCATTTATCACGGAAGAATAGGATGTCACAGCAAAAACGTTAAAGGAAAAAGCTGTTTGTCCTTCATGTTAAATAATAACGTTCTCTGGCCTACCTTGATGGAAAGAACAAACCAGAACCTTCCCTCATAACCTAAAGTATACAGGTTTACGTTTAACTTCACATGAAGGTTTTACAATTTTCACACACACACACGTTTGTATTTTCCGTTTAAAAAAAAAAAAAAAGGATTTCTAGCACTTAAAATGACAAAGAAATTGGGTGTGTTCAAAAAATCTACACAGTGCTAAACAATTCTGGGTCTAACTGAAATGCATGGAACAGTAAAGAATGCAAAGGAAGCGTGGCTGTGCCTATCTGCCAGAGCTGTCCACCGGCTGGCATTAACCCTCGGAAAGCGTATTTATTAAACAGAAGTTTTGTAAGGACGAGACTGAGGAGTGAAGACACTGTCTTTCGCCTCTTTCTGCCTGTGCCAAGCCCCAACTGCAGGAGACGGGCTTGGCGGTGACTCACCTGGAAGAGTGTGTTAGCACCTTGCAGTCTGGCTGGACTCAGGGGAGCGACAGGGCTGAGAGTGCTCCAGAAGTGGATGCTGGAGAGCAAGGGGCTGGGAGTCAGCAAGATGGGCGTCTGCAAAACGCAAAACAAAACCAGTCACTAAGTGACTCACCAGGATGTGTTTCCACCTTATAGTAACACACCAAGAACCCTGAACCCAAATCGTTTTTTAAAGATTTATTTGAGAGCGAGAGAGAGAGAGAGAGCGTGCGCGCACACATGTGCACGAGCGGGAGGAGGGGCTGAGGGAGAGGGAGAAGCAGACTCCGGGCTGAGCACAGAGCCCAGTTCGGGGCTTGATCCCAGGACTCCAGGATCATGAACTGAGCTGAAGGCAGATCCTTAAATGACTGAGCCACCCAGGCGCCCCAACCCCGAACCCAAATATTGTCCTCTTCTCCGCTAAGTAGGTCTGAGATTTTTCATGAGGAGAAACTCAGAAACTATTTTTACAACCTAAGTAAGATAAAGGGCAAAGTATTTTCTAACGTGTTTTATAGGGTCTTTCCCAAATCGAGACCCCAATCTGGTCACATGCAGAAAAATAACGGGTAACTAAAGTCACAAACACAGTTCTCCTTAGTAATGGGGAGCCTGGGAGTCATCCATTTAAATGCTTCAGGGTTGGCGCCTCGATGGCTCAGTCAGTTAAGCATCAGACTCTTGATTTCGACTCAGGTCATGATCTCAGGGTCCTGGGATCAAGCCCCACGTTGGGCCTGTGCTCAGCACAGAGTCTGCCTGTCCTGCCCCACTCATGTTCACTCTGTCTCTAATAAAAAAATAACAGAATCTTTAAAAAAAAAGATTCTCTCTCTTCCTCTCCCTCCCTGCCCCCTCTCTCCCTCTCTTAAATAAATAAATGTTACAGGACATGAGCAAGTTAAGAAATAGCTAATGTAGGGGCGCCTGGGTGGCTCAGTGGGTTAAGCCGCTGCCTTCGGCTCGGGTCGTGGTCTCAGGGTCCTGGGATCGAGCCCCGCGTCGGGCTCTCTGCTCAGCAGGGAGCCTGCTTCCTCCTCTCTCTCTGCCTGCCTCTCTGACTGCTTGTGATCTCTCTCTGTCAAATAAATAAATTAAAAAAAAAAAAATCTTTAGAAATAGCTAATGTAACTATACAACTTTGTTTCTCAACATCACACCAATTGGTTTTCTTCAGGTTCTCAGGATTTACTGTTTTCTAGCCTTTGACGCTATCACTATTTTTGTATAAAATACCACTGAGTCTTATAAGGACTCCCCTCCAAAAAAGCGAGAGCGACAGTAGTTGCTTTAGGAGGAGCCTGACAAATATTTCTTGGCTTGCAGAGACGATGAGTCCTTTTAGAGCCCTTCTAGAGCCCCTCCAACCCTCGCCCGCAGCAGCTCAGATCAGGTGCGGAACCGGGTGACTCTCACCGGGGTCAAGCCCGCCTTTCTCGAGCAGACCTAAGCAGCGGCATGAGAACGGGCGGTTATCGATTCTGGATTTGTTTTAAAAGGGGAGTCAATGCAATCATCAGTGGCCCCAGAAAGCGAGAGGCCGTTACCTGTGAGAAAAGGGCTGGCGTCAGAGAAGCCGTGGGGAGAGACGGGCTCAATATCCCCAGCGGGCTCGGGTCGCTGCCCGTGATCACCAGGATGGGCGCCAGCTCTAACCCTTTGGGTTTCTTGGATCTTGAGGAATTACTTGTTTTGTCCTTTTCCAGCAAAGCCGAATCCTGGTCTTTAGGTTCTAGTGACAAGTTCTCTGGAAGCTCCATGGGCTGTGACGCCACTGACTCGAGGTCGGTGTCAAGGTCAGGGTGCGGACTCAGTGGTGGCGAAGGTGTCCTCGGGGGCTCCTGCACAGAAGGGGAGGCCGAGGGCCCGGGGGATGCGGAAAAGGTGGCGGGGCCGCTGGGGGCAGAGGCCGGGGCTTCCAGGGCGGGCAGTCTGGGGGAAGCCAAAGTCTCCAAGGCTCGGAGAGGGTCTTCCGAAGACGGAGAAATGCCCGGGCTGGCCGACGCGGTGGCAGCAACAGGTTCAACTGGAAGCTTCTTGGAAGGCGTTGTTACAAATCTGATGACAGACGGTGTTGGCTCCTGGGGCGGCTTCTTCTCTGCCAGCTTCTCAGCCGGACTCTCGATCTTTATAGGTCTGAAAAGCTTCTTGTTAGAGGAGTTCAAAGAGTTGAGCGTGAAGGAAGAATACAAGCCGGAGTGGATGTAGTCATTGCGGCTAGAGGCCCGGGCCCCGGGCTGCAGGGGCTTCTCTCTGACCCCGCTCTCGGCGTCCCTGGAGCCGCTGCCCACCTCGCTGCAGCTCACGACCTCACAGTCTCCCTCGGTCCTGCCCACGGTCAGGGGGTCCATTTTCAAAATCTCTGGGTAAGACACAAACTTGTACACAAACTTCTGACCATTCACTTTTTTAATGATATTCTGTAGATAAACGAGATAAGCATGCTTACACTTTCTTGTCAATGCACTTCCCACAGCTCAGAAGAAACGGACCTAATAAGGGTCTCTATGTGGCAAGTCGTTTCCTTAAGAGCTTCAAAATCACCCACATTGACCTAGCTGTACCAAACCCAGGTCCTAGCGCTATGGAGCTGAAGCGGAGTGTATTTAAAGGTTTTATGAACAACCGACATGACCTATTACGTAAGTAAAAGAGAGGTTTCGGTTGCCTGACACCCTCAAGCAAAATTATCTGTATTAAGTCAAAGATCCCTGAACTGCGGTCTCGAACAATCCCAAAGGTGCCAGCCGTTCGCATCCTGAGTGAGCACAAAGAGGACGTTCAGTCTGCTGGGCCCTCTACTTCCTTCTGCAGCTCCGGTCCTTCCTTACCCCACACCCCCATGGGGAAAACTGATAAGACCAACCACTTAAAGGTGAAAAAAATTAGGATCTCAGTTTCTCATTTTAACTCTATCCATTTAAGCTATTCATTTCACCTCAGAGCCCAAGAACGTATCCAAAATAATAAAAAATTAAACAAAAAATAAACTTTAACTAAGAAATCAAATCTGTGCATTAACAGCTATTCTTTAAAGTATTAATCTGGTTTCTCTGGGTTAAATTAAAAAGTGAAGCTACAAAACAAGCATGTATGTGACAACTTTTAAAATTATGATACACACGAGAATGTTTTATTTTGTCCTCAAGAATCTCAAATTTTCTCTTCCTTATTCCCAACCCTATACTCACTTTTTCTTTAAAGACAACTGCAACTGGGAACAACGCATGCGTGAAGAGTGGGAACTAGAGCTGAACACGGACATGTTTCCCCCACTAATCCCAAACTGCTGAAGTTATCAAATAAACTGGATCGATAAAGCCAGGACAGTGATCATTTTGCAATGTACACAAGTATCAAATCATTATGCTGTACTGCTACAACTAATATAATGTTTTCTGTCGATTACACCTCAGTTTTAAAAGGTTTCAAAGACAAACCAGGACGTTAGTCCCTTAGAACCTCATCAGAAGAGAGGAACCATTCTTGTTCTGAGGCGGATGTGTATTACCTTTACATAATAGTATCTGAGAGCTCGGCTGAGTTTGTCGTAATTCATATTAGGCTTGTTCTTACGGATCCCCCAGAGACGAGCCACCTCTTCTGCCTGCAAGAGCTTGAACTCCCCATCATTAGAGGTCCAGCTGATCATGTGCTTGTTCTGAGGCTCCTGTAGGAGCTGCAGGAGGAACTGCCACAGGGTGATCGCACTGTCCATAGCAGTGAGCTGGAAGAAGCACACAGGTAAGACACACGAGAAATTAACAGCCGGCACTGAGAGGACACCGCACGCCCGGCACTGTGCTCCAGAAGCATTACTTCCTTTCCTTCCCACAACAGCCCAATCCTACAAAACAGACAGCCTTGCAGCCTCATTTCACATTTGAAAAAACAGATTCAGAAAAGAGTTAAGTCCGAGGCCAAGGAGGTAAACGGTGGAGATGACATTTAAACCCAGGCAATCTGGACCCAGAGCCCGAACTCTTAAGCAAGGCACACTGCTTAAGAAAAGTCTTGATGTTAGATAAAGTGAGTTCCTTAAGTCACAGGAGCAGTGTGATGACAGCCGATCGCCAGAGGACCGCTCTTACTGAAGTTTTATAGAAGCTCGTGGCCCTGCCCTCTGAGACCACCATTTAAATCAAGCAACTTGGTTTATCTGCCAGAAGTATGTGTGTCTCATGGTGGCCCGAAGATGTAGGGAGTAATCTACTCTTGCTCCACTGGCATTTCTCCTCCAAATCCTTTCTGTTCTCATAAATTAATCCACATTTAAATTGGCAGCACTGAAAATTCAGAAAATGCTCCCTGATTTAATTTACAAGTTCTGTCACCTTTTTAGTTGTTTTTTTTTTTTAATTTATTTATTTGTCAGAGAGAGTGAGCATAGGCAGACAGAGTGGCAGGCAGAGGCAGAGGGAGAAGCAGGCTCCCCGCTGAGCAAGGAGCCTGATGTGGGACTCCATCCCAGGACGCTGGGATCATGACCTGAGCCGAAGGTAGCCACTTAACCAACTGAGCCACCCAGGCGTCCCACCTTTTTAGTTTTTTAAAGGAGACTCCATTCCCAATGTGGGGCCTGAACTCACAACACTGAGATCAAGAGTCGCGTGCTCTACCAACTGAGCCAGCCAGGTGCCCCTATAGATCCTCCTTCTTTGATGAGTGGCCTTTATTTGATTATCAAGACATGAAATGAAAAATCATTCAATGTCTCAGGTTTTAGGATTTCCCTGTTTAGGCCAGAGTTTCTCAATTTTGGCTCTACTGACATTTTGGGCCAGAGAATTCTTTATTCCTAAAGAAATTTTTTTTTAAAGATTTATTTATTTGGGGGTGCCTGTGTGGCTTAGTCATTAGGCATCTGCCTTCCAGCTCAGGTCGTGGTCTCGGGGTCCAGGCATCTAGCCCCATGTTGGGCTCTCTCTACCACTCCCCCTGCTTGTGTTCCCTCTCTCACTCTCTGTCAAATAAATAAATAAAATCTTTAAAAAAAAAAAAAGATTTATTTATTTGGGGCACCTGCCTTCAGCTCAGGTCATGATCTCAGGATCCTGGGGTCACACCCCACGTCAGGCTTCCATTTATATGAAATGTCCAGAATAGGCAAATGTATTCAACACAGAAAGCAGATCAGTGGTTGCTAGGGGCTGGATGGAGAGAAGAATGGGGACTGACTGTTTATGGGTTGATGTAAATATTCTGAACTTAAGATTGTGGTGGTGGTTACACAACTCTTTGAATATACTAAAACCACCGTACTGTACAACTTAAGTAGATGAATTTTATCTCAATAAAGATGTTAAAAACAAACACTATAAATATTACAAAACCGTAGGTCTTAGGAGCCTAATTCTAACAATGTGTAACTCACAAAGGATGGGATCCTTGAAGGTCAACTATGTCTGCTCCCAAAAAAGGCAGGAGATGAGAAACTACTGGAAGATAGCTGGGCTTCTAGAACTTTTCCAAGACACTCAAAATGTCCTTCGATAATCCTCAATTGCCACTTTGAAGGTGGTTACAGATACTGTCATCCAAAAGTAGAGATGGGAAAATAAAAAAGAACAGGAAACAGGAGAAGTCTCCGGTCACATAGTTAATGGAGAGGCTGAGCCCAGGAATCCAAGTCTCTCTCCTCCCAGTCACCAACTCTGCTCCTCAGGAGAACCACTCCCTAGGTGGGTAACTGCATTCACAGGGCAGTACAATTAGATACTAAGTGATAATGGCCTACAAATTGGAAGTGTGACTTTGATGCTGAGTAACCCTCCCCTGCTAACCTTTCCCATAGCCTCACTTAAAAGGAGTTAAAAGAGTAGTTTTAGGGGTTACCAGGCTGGCTCAGTCAGTAGAGCATGAGACTTCAGATCTTGGGATTGTGAGTTCAAACCTCAGGCTGAGCACAGGGCTTACTTAAATAAAAAAGAGTGATTTTATAGTCTGATCCTTCAAGTATTGGGGGGTGGCGGGAGGGGGATGCCATTTCTCTCAATTTACCAGAGACCCTTTCTTCTAATGATGTCTGTTCATGGCTAGTGACTTTTTAAATTATACATGCTTCCCATTTAAATGATTTTTTTTTTTTTTTTTTTAGTCTAAACCTGTTAAAAGTACTCCCTAGTAAATTTTAGCTTAACCAAAGAACTGTCTCCATATTTCCAGACATCATCTTCATACCAAGAATGCCTAGCGGGGCTCCTGGTGACTTATCAGTTAGGTGTCTGACTCTTGATCTCAGCTCAGGTCTTGATCTCAGGGTCCTGAGTTCAAGCCCCATACTGGGCTCCCATGGAGCCTACTTTAAAAAAAAAATGCTTATAGAGGTCGAGGTATGAATGTGTGTATGAGAGAGAGAGACGGGGAGAGAGAGAACATGAGGGGGAGAGGAAAAAGGAGAGACGGGAGGGAGGGGATAACGAGAGGGAGGGGAAAAGATGAAGGACAGGGCTAAAATCTCAGAACAATTACAAATTTGGTGCCTGTAATTCTATTTGTTCTTGGAAGAAGTGCCATACAAAATTCTATAGTCTTAATACCTACCATGTAGATAATGCTTGAGCCCCATGGGTTCATAATGGCTAAGGTAAACACGCAAAGACAGAAATAAGCATCACCATCTCCACAATGAGCACAGGAGTGCCATCCTGGGCAAAGAAGAGGGTCCCCCAAGTATGCGTGCACCCACAGGGGCTCAGGTTTCACCTTTCAATGTCTACCTTCCCTTCTGGTTATTAAGGGAGCGCAGGGACTGAATCAAATGCTGGTGAGCCGAGGCTGCTGCTGCTACTTTGGGGCAGAACCTAACTTTATTGGAAAATGCTGATGCTTTTTTAGTACTTCACAGTGCCTCTGGGATAGAAGGTTGTTTAGAATCAAAGGACATTGTGGTTTTGGAATGAAGCACTGGAAAAGAATGTTCTTTTGCAAAAAACTAACATGGATATGAAATGGACATCTTCAGTGGGTAATTTAAAAGAACATTTTACTCATTAAATTCTAATATCAGGTCATACTCTACTGAAAAGTTGTGGACCTCTGGGTATACAGTCAAGCTGAACTCTTCATTTCAGTTTCTAAAAGTGTGCTATCAGGGGTGCCTGGGTGGCTCAGTCATTAAGCCTCTGCCTTCAGCTCAGGTCATGATCTTCAGGGTCCTGGGATCGAGGCCTACATCGGGCTCTCTGCTTAGCGGGGAGCCTACTTCTCTGCCTACTTGTGATCTCTCTCTCTCTCTGTCAAATAAATAAGTAAATAATTTTTTTAAAAAGGTGTGCTATCAATGTGAAATTCAATTATTTCCTCAGGCATAAAAGAGAACTAAGGAAAAAAACTTCTAGAAGGCAGTTATTAAAAAGGTGAAATGATGAGTCGAAAAATACAAATACTTTTATTCTAACTACTTATCAATAAAAACCTTTACTTTGTCACAGAAAAGCTCGAGTTTTCTAAAATTACACTTCAAGAAGAGCTTTTCAGAAGTGTAACAAGGGAGAGAAATACTTAACTGCTGCAAATAAAAGAACATGACTGAGAGTTAAATGTTGAAACTGATTCTACATTAACACTTCAAAGACAGATCAATCCCAGAGATAAACTGAAAGAAAGCATGTTGAAATAACCTATTAGGGAAAGGAAGTCTCTAATAAATGAAACTTTTTCCACCCTAAACATGTTTATAATACACACAGCCCAGTTGCTGTGGTGACCCAGAGCCCAACTATTTTTCAGAAACAGCAGCTAAGATCCAAATACTAAAGGTCTCCAAATTCAGCGAGCTGCTTAAATAAAACCAAACCAAATTATGTATCAAGACTAGTTTTGAATTAAAATCACCATCGTTTATGAGAAGTAACCAGGAATCTCTTCACTGTTCAGTACCCTATATTACGAAAATAGTAAATGCATAGTTACATTGCCCTAAAACTTGAAAACAGTATTTCCCTAAGAATGTAATGGATTTCACTTTTGCAGTTTTAAGTAAAATCAAAGAGAAGGGAGTTCCTGACGGGGGGGTGGGGAAGGGTGGACGGAAGCCTACAACATCTTAATGAAAACACCACTGACAGTCCTAAATATTAAAGCACCAAGTTTTCCCTCGCAGTGGGGTGGTGGCTGGGAGCGCGCAAAGGGGAAGGGAGGACTTGACCCACCGCTGTGATGAGGAAGAGACTCCAGAGTGAATGCCCTAAACTTCAAATAGCAACAGCCTGGGGAAAAGGCAACTGTGTATTTTTTTTTTTTTTTTTTACTACTTCCATCAGTCAACAATACCCCTTATTTCCTGCCAGGGCCAGTTAATTAATATTCCTCCCCCAAAAGTTTCCAATTGATCGTCCCAGAAATCAAGAAGCGACCAGCCTCGCCGCGGCTGTACATTAAGCGGAAAGTCAAGGGGGGAGGGGGCTCGCGGGACAGAAGTAGAAAAAGAAATGAAACTTGACACCGGATGAAGAGCGAGCTTGGGGAGAGGAAGAAAATTCGGCGACCGTGCGCCCCAGAGCAGATCAAAGTCCGGGGAAGAGCCGCAACCTCACGCGGCCTCGGGAAGCGCTGAATTACTGTACTTTCATTTTCCAACTTCCTGTCACCACAAAGAGTCAGAATTCACCCCCCTCCCCGGCCGAAGAGCCACTGCCACCCTGTGCCCCAGGGACCTGAGGGGCCACGTGCGGCCCCGGACGCTCCGCGGTCCACCTGCGCGCCCAGCGGCTGGGGCTGCCAGCCGGGCAGGGCGGGCCGGGGGCGGGTCCCGGGGGAGCGCGCGCCCGCCCCCGCGCCCGCCGCCACGCTCACTTCCTGTTGTGCTGCCGGCCCACCCCTGCCCCCCGGCCCCGGCCCCCGCTCCCTTTTCCCCGCGGCGGGGGGCGGCGGTCGCGAGAGCCCCAAGGGGCGCGGGGTGGACGGGGCGCGCGGGGCCGGCCGCTCACCGAGGCCGGGCGCGGGGCTGCCTCTGGGTCTCCGCCTGGAGCGCGACGCTTCTCTCTGCCCGCCGCCTCCTCACGCCGGGAGCTCGAGGACGGCGCGGCACCGGCTGCGACCCCCGCGGCGGAGCCGAAGAAGGCGGCGGCGGCCGAGCGGAGCCCGCCGGGTACCCGCAGCCGCCCGCATCTCCCGCCGCCGCCGCGCCCGCCGCGGCTCCTCGCGCCCCGCCCTCCCCGCCCCCGCACGCGGCGGCGGCGGCGGCGGCGGCGCGGGTCGTGGGGCCGCTACCCGCCGGGCGCGCGCTCGGGGCGTTCCTCGCCGGGGCCCGGCCTGCCACTCGCTCCGCGGCCGCCGCCACTCTCAAACCCCCCCGGCTACGTCGGGGCCCTTCCCAGACACCGCTGCCGCGTTGCGTCACTTCCGGGGCGGGAAGGGCGGAGCCGCTGCCGTCGGCGGTACGGGGTCATGAGCGACGGCGTTTTCGCGCCCGGGTTTCGGGAGCTCCCGGGGACGGGTTTGGGCGCGGTGCGAGTGTCCCCTGGAGTCCCGCACTGGCCGCTCTGCGCCGGACTACTGAGTGGCGGCTAACGGCTCGCTGAAGCGTCCGACCGAGTCCGGCGCCCCGGAGCTGCATCTGTGTGGGGCACCCCCGGACGGGTGGGGGTTCCGCGTCTCCCGCGGCGGGGAGAAGGGTTGCCGCTCGCCGGGCGGCGGTCGGGGGATCACCTGTGTTGTAGCTAAGCGAAAGCGTGAGAACTTATCTCTTCTGGGCCACTCGTCCTGCCTTTTCCCCGGCCGAGTGGACGGAGGAGTTGGTGCTGCCGCAGCTTGCTGTCCCAAGTACCGGCTCCCGGGACACAACGAACACCCCCAGTAACTGTTAAATCAGCGCTGCAGCTCACTGGCCCGGGGTGTGACAGATGAAGTCAGCCCTGGAATCCAGTCGAGCTTTCACCCCTCACTGTCTTGGAGACCTTAATAACTTTCTTAACTTCCCAAAAGTTTCATCGTCTGTGAAACAGAGAGAGCCCAGTCTCTTAGAACTGTGACGATCAGAGGAGATCGGGCGCTCCAGTCACCCAGCAGAGTTCCTAGCACATACGTTCTCATTAAATAGAATTCTTAAGGAACCAAGTCACACTTGGTACTAAACACTACTTGAGTCAGCTGCAGAAGGGGTGCACAGTCAGTATGCTAGATTGCTGAACAAAACCCCGAAGAAATAGATTGCATATTCTTTTAAACGAGAAACCAGAAGGCTGGTGTGTGAGCTCCCTTTATGCGGCCATTTACTACCTGAAAGACCGGCAGAGAGTTGCTTAACCTCTGAACCTCAGTTCCTCATGTAAAATAAGGATGATAATGTGCAGCATTGCTGAAAAGATCGAATGAGATAAAGACTGTCATGTACTTAATGCATTTCCTGGCACATACTAGACACCCCACCAAATGGTGGTGTCATTTACTTTTGCCTCCACCTCACCCCCAGAACTGAATTCAAGGTAAAATTAATTGAACTCACTGAGTAGAGTGTGATCCTATTATCCCGGGTAGGTTTCTCGAATAGCATTGGCACGTCATTTTATTTCCAACCTCCTCCACCCTAAGACAGAGTAATTATAACACAGAGGTATTCCTGTAAAAGCAACACTGCCAAGAGATGTTACCTTTTTAAAAATAATTCTACCAGAGGATGTAAACATATTTTCATTAAGAGGAAACGTGCAATAACTGAAAAACACTAGCACTCTTGGCTTCTGATATAAAATGTTTCCTCACAGCAGTTTCCATTTTAGTATTGGGGGGGGGGGTGGGGGGAGGGGGGGGGGGGGGGGGGAATAAGAATTATTAAACTAGGCTGTTTAAGATACACCCTTGGGAACATTTGTTTATAGAAAGATTTCATTTCAAGCCTTAGACCAAGAACAGTGAAGGGTTGTGGAACTCTTCAACAGACTATCGTGCTCTGCCCAAACTAGCAGGTAGTTTGGGATTTGGATGATAGCTGGGATTCGGCCTCGGGGTCTGCAGCGGTATCAGAATTTCTTTGGATGGAGTTGACAGTCTTGTCGATTGCAGTGTATTTTTGGAAAAGAGCCTACTTTGGGTGCTCTTAAATTAGTCATAGCAAGTCTGTGTGTTTTTAAATTGACTTTTTTTTTTTTTTTTAACAGTACATGTTGACAGCAGAGAAACTAGAAGGAAAGTCAGATTTCAGATTGGTGAACTGGGAGAAAAAAGTTTATTAATGTGCCCTGTTTTCCCACTCAAGATGTTATAAATACAGACTCTCTCTCCACGGTTCCTCACACAGCAGATGGTTGTTTTTGCAAACTCCATGGTGATTATGTTGCTTTTTTGTTATCTTGTTTGGTCACTTTACCACTCAATAGATTTCCAGTTGTAGCCTTGGCCACTCAGGGTTATCTCAAATAAAATCTGCAGATTTTATTTAAGTGGTTTCCTATATGTTTTTATCCCAGGCTTGCCCTCAATTTTGTTTTTCAGTCATTTTACTTAACCCAGTCCTGCCATCCCTGTTTCCCTAACTTAATTACATTTCCTATCCCAATAACACCTAGTTATGATGATTTCTTCTTGAAGCAACTCCCCCCTTCCCTCTTTTCTGTTTTGCTGCCTCGTCATTACCCCAAGTTAACATCCCTTTTTCCTAAAGAAATATTTCCTGGACTCTGAGCAAGCATGGAACCATCCGATTGCATGCCCTGTCTTCCAGGCAATGTCTTGCAGCACATGAAGTAAAGAAGAGAGAGCTTTAAGTCAGAGGAAGCACCGGCAGCCCCAGATAGGGACAGATGTGAAGCAAACAGCAGCATGTGTGTCATGAAGGAATAAAACTCAGGGAATTCTGAGTTCTAGCCTTTCGATCTCCCTAAACTCCAAGCTTGATCCTCCTGAGAAAATCGTGACAACTTATCACTTCTGGGCCTCACTTTAAATATCTTAAAAATAAAAGCTATCGGGGCGCCTAGGTGGCTCAGTGGGTTAAAGCCTCTGCCTTCAGCTCAGGTCATGATCCCAGGGTCCTGGGATTGAGCCCAGCATCGGGCTCTCTGCTCAGCAGGGAGCCTGCTTCCTCCTCTCTCTCTGCCTGCTTCTCTGTGATCTCTGCCTGTCAAATAAATAAATAAAATCTTTAAAAAAAATAAATAAAAGCTATCTATCCATACCTTTCACTTGTAGTCTATGGTGGATGGAGGAAAAGAAAAAGACAGTCGATCAAAGTAGACTTTGAGTTCTTTTTGAATGACCCTATAGTTATTATGTTTGTGGGGCTTGAACTGTTAAAGGAAAAGTTACCTTTGAAAATAAAACAGGCTAGCTGGATCCTGCATCTGGCAGCTTTTACTAACCCCACTACCTGTCAAGGCCCTAAGATTCACCAGAGACCCACCAGTGGCTTGATGGTTGGAAATATCTCTACACGAAGACTGTCATTCTGGGCAAGGACATATCATCCGTAACAGTAAGACCTGTAATCAGAAGGTATTCCAGGTCCAGAGAAAAACCCATGAAAAAGCCTTTGAACAAGGTATTTGTGGCCTCTAGACTGTGAGGGAAGCTTATGGAAACATCTTTCAGCCCTCGCTGTAATCTTTACACAACACCCTGTTTCCCAGAGAGGACATGACGATACATGACTTTACTGCAGTTACCCGCCTGGGGCGTGGTACGGATCTACCACACTTCATGACCTATCCCAAGCACACCTCAGAAATAGCCTCATGTACTTTTCACCAGAATCTACACTTAGTCTCTTTCCTCCTCCACTAATGTGTATATTTTTTAAGATTTTATTTATTGATTGGTTGATTTAGAGAGAGAAGGCAGGAGAGGGGTAAAGGGAGAGGGAGAGAAAAAAATCTTCAAGCAGACTCCACACCTAGCACAGAGCCTGATATGGGCCTCAGTCTTGCAACCCTGAGATCATAGCCTGAGCCAGAGTCGAGTCAGATCTTAACTGACTGAAACACCAGGTGCCCTCCAATATTTTTCAACCTAAAGCAGTTTTATTGGTCTTTGATACGTGTACTTTTTCTGCTTGTGAAAACTGCTGTTGAATATGTGTATAGTAGACAAAGAGGACAGAACCGATCACTTCTTTTTCTAACTGCTCTTTGGAAAAGGTGTGACTCGATTGAAAATCTACCTTGTGGGTAACCATGTAAGATTCTGGGGGTTTGACTAAACTCATTGTAGGATACAGATTTCTCTGAATTTTAAGCCCGGAGTTGTTTCCTCTCTTGTGAATTGTATAACTGGGTGGAATTTTTTTCACTTAAAATTAATTCAGGAACAACAACAAAAAATTCAGGAACCACCACCAAAAGCCTTTCTTTTTTCTTTTCTTTTCTTTCTCTCTTTCTTTCTTTCTTTTTTTTTTTTTAGGAATTTTCAGTCGTGGACCAGAGACACTGACACCTTCAGAGACCATCACTCCTCTCCACGACTTCCGTCAACTTTACAGTTCTCTCGCATTATCTGTTATGATCCTATTGACATAGACAAAAAAAATTCAGCTGAGGATCCAGAGATCATGGAGAAGGAACAGTCAGGCTGACAAATGTAGGGGTAAGTACAGCTCTTCGAGCTTTGCAGCGCTGTGGTGAGATGGGAGAGGGAGGGAAATTACCACCTCCCACTGCATTCAGGAACATTTCCTGAAAGAGGTGGAGTTTGGAAGACTTGGTGCTAATTCAAAAATGTGTAATGCCAGCTTTTTTCCGCCTTACTTTATTTATCCAGCTGCAAAACAAAATTAGTCTTGCCATGCTAAAGAACACGGCACCAGCGAGTTGCATACTCAGTTCAGAAGGGTGACACAGCCAGCAGCTTCCCTCCTTCAGACTCTCAAGGGAAGGAAATTTAAATTCTGTCTAGGCTCACCCTGTAAAATGGGGAAATCGTTGGGTCCATAGGGCTTTTTCCCCACTTTCTTCTCTCAGCTTCTCCCTGCTGCTCTGAAGATACAACTGTGGTGCGTGGACTATGTCTAGAAATCGGCTTCCAACGGGAGAGCCCTGAAGTGGAGGGAGAAGAGGGGGTTCTCCCAGGTTGGAAAAGAATCCAACGGCAGGGTTTCCCGGCTAAGAGAGCTCTGGTTAGATCTTATTTGAAATTGTCTCCCTCCCTACTGGAAATATACTTGATCTTCGTTT